TCTCTCTCTCTCTCTCTCTCTCTCTCTCTCTCTCTCTCTCTCTCTCCCCCCCTGAAGTAAAAAATGGCTATAGATCAAATCATGACCAAGTCCCTACTATGAAGATGGTAATCCAAAGATGGGAGAGATATTCCCTGCTTCCACCGTCAGCACTAGAAAAAATTACTTGGACTAAATATGCCCTATTCATGCCAACCAGCTTAGGATCCCTCCAATGGCAGATCGCGCACCGGTGCCTCCACCCCGAACTGGCTGGTGTCGAGATCAGACATTGAACAGAAGGGGTGCTGTCCAGTGTCCACTCCCTGCTCCTACCGTGGGAAGTCATCCCAAAAAGCTATTGCTACCTTGGAACACTGCTTGCTAGCCTGTCCAATGGTGGCCCAGATATGGAGGTGGTGAGATACACCGTGGAAATTCCTGGTAGGTCATCGCCTCTCCTGGAAGGTGTATGTAATACTTCTGGCAACCTGCAATAATACATTTTCGCAATGGAGCCTTTTTGCACTCAACCTATACAAATATACCAGGTTGAGAGTGTTTATGATAGCGTGGAGGGCCAGATGCTCCCATGAGTGGAAATAGCACAATTTTGGATTTGCACAAGCAAGAGCGGAGTTTTTGTACAGAACCCAAACCACACACACTAAGCCTGGAAGGAAGCGAGGAACACACCGCAAAAACAGTGCACAGAGAAGGGCCAGCAAACCACGATCCACCTTTTTCAACAGATGTGGATAGACCCCAAGAAAGCAATCTGCAGGACTGTTCGGACCAGTGGATCTGCAGATAGGCTGAGGTATGCCTGAGCCAGGTTGTCCGGTAGCAGGACTGAACCAGGTGCTCGTCTGCACCCTGGCCCAGTCCTTAGTGTCCGTTGCAGGAGAGGGGAGTAGGGCTAGGACCTGGCCCTGCAGCCAGGACCATCGATCGGAAGGTAGATCCGACGGCCCCGGTGCAGACCTCCACTGTACCCAGCAACATATAGCTGGGTAGTCCTCAGACCACGGACATGCGTTCAGTCCTGGTGAGGTCGAGGACTGGAGGAGGGGCCCTGTTGGTGTTCAGCGCTGGGAGCTGGGTCTGCGGAGGTAGACGAGAGGCCTAGAGGGCTGATGGGTGAGGGGTCGACACACCTGTGTGCCATAGCCGATCCATTGACGACGACCTGCATCAGCACGACAGTGCGGTCAGTACCAGGCGGCTGATATCAGAGAGAGAGAGAGAGAGAGAGAGAGAGAGAGAGAGAGAGAGAGAGAGAGAGAGAGAGAGAGAGAGAGAGAG